TATGACATAGATGGCTATATTTTTACATCAATATATCAATATATACACTATTTATTCAGATATTATTAGCTGAAGATGACTACATATAAGATGAAATTATTCAAATTTCAGATATGTTTATAAAATATTATATTTTATAATCGTTGTATCATATTTATATTATAATCTAGAAAATTATTTATTTTTCATTCTGACAAAATCAAGTGAATGATGAAATGAGCTCAGTTTATACACATCATTGTATCTACATGTTTTATCAAAATTTGATGTTAGTTTGCATGCTTGCTAGATTGTGAAAAAAAAAATATAATTTTTTTTCACATTTTTATTTAAACTATCTCAAATTTTTTTAAAATTTAATATTCTTGAATAACATCAGTTTAATTTTTCTAGAAGCTAATTTTTAAAAATTTGTTTGAATGTGTTGTACAAATGTCATTATTTTTGTATAAAATTTTTTCAACTTCAAAACATGTGGCTTTTTGATTTGGTAGCTTTTGCTATAAAACTGATTTTCATATTGAACATTAGAAAAAGATATAAACTTTTTGAAATAATTATTTGAAAGTAAATGTAGTTTGAATTTTTTCAAAATAAATAAAATTTCGTTTCATTCAACATCATATGTTTCATTAAAAAATGTTCACATATTAATATGTGTATATACTACAACATGTAAAACTTTGCTTCAATATTTGTTTCATTCATGTTAATGTTCATCAACGTTCTGCAAAATTTATAGTTACTTTGTTATGATAAGTTTGACAAATTTTGAAATATATATATTTGTATTTAAAAAAAACACACATATAGATATAAATACATAAATATATATATCAATGCATTTTGATCTTTTAATTTGTTTTATATTCCCATAACTGTTGGGGTATCTTATACACGCCTAAATTTACTGTCTTGACGCGATGATGTCATACAAATAGTTCATTTATGCTATTATGGAACCTAAACATGGGTTCACACATTTAATTAACATATTAATAAATCCCATCGCACAATATTTATGTTAAATGTAAATCTAGATTTTTATTTTTATTTTGGGTCTAAAACGCTACAGATTTAACTCTCTCTATCAACTTAAAAGATTTGAGCTTTACGGAATATATCCTTTACAGTTGAATTGTAACATCTAGTATCAATCTTTCAGAAATGCTGCAAATTTTCAAGTCATTTATTTAAATGATGAAACTTTATAAGCTTGATGTTGTAGAAGTAATGTTCATATCAATAATTTTGAGAAAGAACTTGACACTGATCACAATGAAAGCACATTTTTAAAGTCCTGTATTTTTTTTTAGGTTATTAAATTATTTTACTTTTGCAAAATCTGCTTCACATTACATATCTTTATGAAACAACTTGGTGAATTCAGTTGCTCTTCAATTTTTTTAGCTCTTTTATGCTATTATTAATCTCTTCGATAAAACAATGTAATATTTATGTTAGCGTAAGTTTCACATCTCTCTAGCAAGGTATTAGCAAGTTATTCATTTTGTTGGACTTTTCGGTTGTCTTGAAATCTTACGTTAATCTATTCTGTTGATACTTTCGTCTTGTTGGTCATTATTTAAGATCTCTCATCTGAAAATTCCTGAAACCCTAAATGTGTTAAACCTTGATCCTAAACTTTTTTCTTGCTATATGCTGAAAAATCATATTACATTGGCGTTTTTTATTATCAAATTAAACACTAAAATTGAAAATACTCGATTTGAACAATATTTTCATCTTGTCCACCTATTCATGCAATTACATTTATTGCACACGTAATGCAGGTAATTGAGATAAATAAAAATCGTCAATTAATATCATGATACATAATATTTAACTTGAGTAAATATATATATAATTCGATCATATGGTAAAATTTATCATTCAAAATGATGATACATACAAATAGAAAACTTTACAAACATTCAGAAATAACTTTTTTCAAATAAATTACATAGTTTTCGACGTATTTAAAATCCAAAGGTTGTAAACTTTAATCAAATACTGAAAATCATTTTAATTTTTTTCATGTAAAAAACCTTAATGAATATTTGCGCACATATTGCAAGAATTATTTCAAATATCATATTGTTTAAAATATTTTTTTACCATTCTATAGATCAAATTACACTCAAGAATAACCAAAGGTATGATATATGATGTGCTAAAAAGATTTTTTGAATTGCTCTTGATATTTGCAAATAATTTAATATTCATTAAATAGTGATCTAAACATTAAATAAAACATGTCATCTATTTAAATAATTTAGATTATTACAAAGAAAATATAGCATTGACTTTTTATGAGAGTATTTAATATTTATAATCCATTCATACAAGTGATTTTCAATTAATCGTTTTGATATGATAACATAGAATTTTTATTTATAAATTTCTATCTCAAATATAAACAAGAGTAAATAACTAGTAAAAGAAAAGAATGTGACAACTATAAGTAATAAACAACGAAAGTCATGTGAAGAGCAAGCACTATATAGAGTATTACAGACGAGACAAGGTTGCTAATACTTGTCTCGTCAGGAAATGTGAAAGAGTTTCACATTTCCAATTGCTCATAACTTCTGCTTGCTTGTAATAAATCCTAGAAGGTATAAAAAATTTCAAAACTTGTTCAATAACTGTAGCAAATATCATGCATTACAAACCTCACCTGTACTATCATGTATGAAACACCGTTACCATCACTTTTTAATTCATTACTCGAACATAGGGTAGAGTCAGTCATGTACACTACAAAATTTCTATATCATATTTTCTTCTCGTTTAGATTGACCTTCACTGAATAGTTTCAATTTTGATAACACACAAATTTCAATATATAGATTACATAATTGGATTCAATTTAATTTGAATCTTAGAGCTTAAAATAACACTATGACGTTTAGACATATTTTTATTATTTATGATATATAAACTTAATTCTCATTGGGTGCCATTACCAGACTTTCCGTGCCGAACTCCAAACTTACAGAAGCTTGTGTTGAAGGCTGTACTCGTCAACTGAAAAAAACAACCATTTTTGCAGATCAAATTGCAGCAACACAGAGCAAATGCACGAATGTTACTTTGAGATTTTCTGCAACCACGGATCCAGCCACTGATTGCTCAAAACGGCGTACTTGGTATCAACAGGTTCAGAGGTCTGTCAGTGCATTGGACAGCGTCATCAAAATGAGGTTCCATGCTGTGTGATCATTGCGCTTCATTCATTGAGAAACATGACCTCTTCTCATGAAGTTTAAGCGTACCTATCGATCGCTTAAACGCTTCTTCAGGAGAGCGGTCAAATTTACTGCATTCCTTCGATTCATGAGTTCCTCGGATCGATTGACAATGAGGAACTAGAACATCAACTAAAATGGAGTTCCTAGTGGACAAATTGGAAGACTTGATGAGCAGAACACATGTACGACCTCAGAGCGCTGAGAATAGAAAGGTTTCTAAAAAATGGATCCTGATGTCTAGATCTGCAATGAATACGATCCCACTAGAAAGCAGGCATAATGCCAAACTGCAGGCCTTATTAACACGTGCAAGCTCTTAACACTGGAACTGTTTTGCGACCCATGAGCAACTCAAAATCAGCAGCCTCAACTGAACAACCTTACTTGTATTTGAAATTATGCTAAAAATCTTTGAGGATCGAAGAGAGTAGAGAAGCACTTACACATGTCAAGTCTTGTTCGGCTTATTGCTATCCTTCAGCCTTCAGTAACATTAAAACCTTCTCTTCAGTTCTGGATTGCCTCCTTCGGGTGATAACTCAGTAGACCATCTCTGAACACATCAAGATCTACATTCGTATGTATCCACTCTCAAGCTCGATTATGAGCAAAAAAGATCTTGGATCTACTCAACGCTCTATCTCGCTTGAACCAGAGCAAAACTTTTGAGTTCAATCCGTAGGCGACTGGGAGATCTCAATCTGATCATGCAGGGAGAATTCACATGGTGAATGAGATTGGAAACTGGACACCTTGCTTGACATGGTTGAAATATTCTGCCCAGACATTTCCAGTTGTAAACTAAGAAAGTTCCATGCAAATATGCAGCTCACAACGTGGACTCACGAGTGCACGTTCTGAGCTGTATAATGCGGAAAGGGCTCGTGTTAAATGTTCGTCAGCAAGAGGAAAGAAAATCCCATCGCTCACCACAAACGAGAGAGCTGTATCTCTTATTTACCATTCCGCCAACTCCTCACTGGAATACTTCTCAGCATGTTCATTGTTACTAAGTTGGTTCGTGAAGCATCTTAGGATCACACAATTGTCGAGTCATACGCGAGCCATATTCCCAATCGTTACTTATTGTAGAACATGTGCATCGTTGCACGTGAAGAGTACACTATCAAGTAAGCGTTGAATCAGAGATCTGACGTTCAGCATTGATCATGATTGTCACTGCAGCAGTTACCAGACCTGTCTGATCAGCAGGGCTGCTATGATTCAAATTCATGCGTCTTGAGATGTCATATTTTACAACTTCTCCGAATATGGAACACTATCCGACGTAGACTGAAATTTTTCGCCGTAAATAATATAAAGACTTAAAGATATAAGCAAATTCCTAATCGTCATGCCTTTCGTTCCTCTAGGTCCCACACCAGCTTGTTATTTCCGGTCCCATGGTTCCTTGATTCCAGTTTCACATTAATCGTGTAATCAATTCCATCATGCATTCTCTGTGTCGGATGAGAAAAGCATTGTTAAGGTCATCTAGGCTTTGATTACAGCAGAATCCTGCAGCAAGTTTAGCAGTCGTGGAGTATGTTCCTGATTGTTAATTGCAGGTCGTGAGCAGACTATAACATCCTCGTCAGTACTGTTGATGGCTCCACAATCCATGCCTTGTGAAGTGCACATAAACAACCTACGCTGTACTCTTCACATGCTTCGGAAGTCTGACCAGCAGCAGGTCGGTATAAAGCATGTCTGAAGAGAGGTCGATCCCAGATCAGAGTTAGAGAGCAAGGAGCAGCTCTGAAAGAGAAACTCAAGAAGCATCTTCTCGTACAGCTTGCTCAAAGGATCAGTGGCAGAAAAGCTTCTTCAAGCTATGGCTATGGCGTACTATGGAGCTGCTGCTATTGCTCTTCTCTCTTTATTCTCCACCGTCATGGCGACGGTAATTTCTCTAAATATCCCAGCTAATTAAATGCCATGATCTTATTTCCAGCAAGCTGTTGTTGGCTTTGGCAGTATCTTTGGTGCTGAATCTCTTTCATTTGAAAACTACAAGAATTTGGACTACGCTACGATTGCATTAATGAAGGCTGTATCTCAGACACTTAGTTCTAAAGAATTGGCTTGCCATAGCGCGTACATGGGCTCGGAAACAGATGATCGACGCAGAATCTTCACAGCCTCAGCCAAAAAAACTGCTAAATCTGAATATCCTGAGTCTCATGGATGGTATACGCAACATCAGCTCTGACTAAAGTCAACTGTCATACTCAACTTGGTATTGCAGGACTACTGCGTGTACACCCTTTTCGTGAAAACCGGATTTCTGCCAAAAGCAGGCACTAACTCGCACATCAGCACCGAGTTCTTCGACGCGAATGGAAACAGCTACAAAATCAGCAACATCACCGAATGGGGAGGCTCGCTCATGAGTGCAAACCACGACTGCTTCGAGAGGAACAACCTGGACGTGTTCACGGGCCTCGGCGAGTGTTTGGAAACTCCCATCTGCGGCATGCACCTCTCGTCCGACGGAAGCGGTGAACATCATGGCTGGTATTGCGACTACGTTGAAGTGACCTCCGTGTGCTCCAAGCCCTCTATGCTTTGCAACACTCATCGCTTCACAGTCCAGCAGTGGCTGGCCACTGATGTCTATCCGTACCAGCTCGTTGCTCATAGAGACGACTGCGCGCACTTGAAAACATCAGCCTAGACCTCTCACAGGATTTACTGCCCTCCAGGGCTCACGCGTTCTCATCAGAGAGAATGTCGCGGCGGGCTTTCTGATTTCTGTGAAGTCAGATCCATCGGCGCATAGTGTACTAAAAGCTTTTCGCCAAGAGTCCTTTACAAGCGCTTGGGAAGAAAACCTTACGAGTGCTAAGCTCTGTCAGAAAGCCTAAGAAAAATAATCAGGAGAAGAACAATAAAGTGATATATATTCTTTCCACTTGCTGCAGATGTAATGTTGAACTTCAAGTTGGGAGGGGATTCTGTCAGATCTGAAAGCCGTCCTTTTATGGCTAGATCGAGTGCATCTGTCACGTGCTTCTACGCAAAGTCTATTGCCACAACAGTTTTTGATGATGAATCCGCTACTATGCCTTGTCTTTGTGAGTTGTAAAGTTTTCAGCAACGCGTACGATGGGAACATTTACTTTTCCTTTCATGACTATGTTCCATTTTCTAGTTCAGAACCAAAAATTCCAGATACCAACCAACCAACCTTCAAGGCATTACGTCCTCCCCTTCTGCCTAAACAATAACAATTCTCGACAATATGACACTTACTGCATAAACATGTCGTCAGATCTAAGCTTCGGCAAGACTAACATGTGACCTTTGAACAGATTTATTAGTTCAAATTGGAAAAAACTATTTCCCTCTAAGCACTTTATTCCCGGAGATTATGCTGATTACAGTTTTTTTGTCGTAATGAAGATATTGACTAAGTTGGGTCTTCTTGACCCAACTTAAATTGATTACTCTGAAGTAATCAATATAACTTTCAACTGATTGCTGAACTTTTGAACACAATTATGGTTGTAACAAATAACAGTCTATAATGAAGAGGTATGCAACTACAGGTATGGAGTATTGATCAAGTATTCAGCTATGGCTGAAATATAAGAAAAACTTGTTATTATTACTTGAGTCCCACTTTTCAGTTGCAATCACACTGTAACATGAAAAATACTACTGATACAAAACAATTCCAGAGTTGTCATAAATACAATCGCTAATTGATATTCAGATCCTTTCAGCGTTATCAGGATCTTGACTCATGACACTTTCTAAACACATTTTCCAGCCTACATATCACTAACAAGAAACATTCAATGACAAAGAATATACTTTTTTACTAGTTTGACTTTTTAGTTCCATTTTCTGCCAGGTAATCGATTATATTAAATCGAGGACCCTGTCAGAGATGTTCGTGCACAATTGCACCTTCATGTACTTCTCTGTTGCACGCGTTTAGACATAAATTCTTGCTATTTTCTTTATCAAATTCAAAGGCCAGATTATACTAAAAGCATAAATAACGAACTTGAAGAATCAGTTTGACTGGTAGTAGAGTCTACTTTTGTACTTTACAAGTCTAGGAAAGGTGATAAGACGCAAACACTCTCAAAATCTACACTCCAAAAAACTGAACCGTTTATGTTAATAAAGAAAATAAATAGTTTACCATTTTATTACCCGCAGAGATGGACTCGACGGTTTTTTCATCCTATTCAGTTTGAATAGTATGAAAACTCGGTAGCTAAAGATCAACAACTGGCGGGCTAGCCACGTGTAGATCATACCACGTGTACATGATTACAATCCCCGTTTATTTCAGATCAAGAGACGTGAAACCTACAAGGCGAACAGGATTGGAAAAAACTAGCAAACTGACAAAGGGATTGTCAGGACTACATATATCATAGATGTGATCTGAAGGTCAAACCGCCACAATCTCCTGACCAAGGACCACTAAGGTGCTGGGTACCAACAGCATCAAGCGACACTAGCTCCCTTTAAACAGCAACGCCGAGCATGCAGGAGCAGAGTCATAACAATGATTACATCAATGTTATAAGTAAATCGATTGCTGACATCGTGCTCCGTGAATCCCTCCATGTTCTATTCTTGAATCGTGCACGTGATCAGTCCATTTCCACTTCAACGTTCGCAGTCTTCAAAGTCCCGTGTAGTCCATTTGTCTTCCACCTCCTCTTCTCAGTTCGATAGCCACGCACGGATGTGATTCTCACGTCTTGATTCCTTCCAGTGGAAAAGCACAACACATTTACATGGCAACGAAACTTTGAGGTAGGTATTACGTATATATTCTAAATTTACAAGCGAAAGGGGTCGGATTCCCGCAAGATTTGAAGGGAGAGGAGCTTAGTTGTCTCCTAGTGAAAGCATCTGAGATTCTATTTAAGCCTGTCAACATAACGTGGGTGGGTTCTAGCTCGTAGGAATCTTCGGTTTAACAATGTGATACTAGTCTCAATTTGTGAGGCCCTTCTTGACAACAGCAGTGGAATAATGAAGTCGAGAAAAAACGATAATTTTCCTCGTTCTGTCACTGAACACATTGCAAACATGTGTATCCTCGCCTGGACCTGGGCCAAAGCTTCATGCAGACGTGATGGAAGCTATGTAAATTAGCAGCGCAAGAAGACATATCCCAGAGCAGAGAGACAGAGCAGGATGATCAAATCAGAGAGATTCTCAAGAGAATCAAGAAGGCACTCGAGCAAGGCCTTACAAGGAATTCTTGGAAGACCGGCTTATGTGAGGCTACGGACATGTTAGCTTACGGAGCTGCTGTCTGAGTACTTTTGTCTCTAATCTCGATGACCACAACGGTAATGGCCAGGGTAAGGTTTGATCTGTCATTCCATATCCACTGCAAATGCCTGATAATTTTCACTTTCGATCTCCATGACATGACTTGTCCTTCATGGATCTGACTCCAAGCGATCCACTGATCTGTTGCACATATTGACTTTCGCTACACAGATCTTCTTCTCGGAAGTTGTTCCTTGTGAGGTTAATCTTTTAGTCTGTGGTCTGCATAGAGACAAAACGTCAGACAGACAGATTGAGACAGCTTCTCTGATAAGTGTTCATGTGCAGGACTACTGTGTCTTTACCCTCTTCGTGAAGATTGGATTTCTGCCAAAAGCAGTTACCGATTCCCGGATTTGTGCGGAACTCTTTGTCGCAACTGGTGAAAGCTACAAAATCACCAACATCACGAAATGGGGATATCTCTCATGAGCGCCGACCATAACAGGCTCGAACGCAACAGCTTGGACGTCTTTACAGGCTTTGGAAACTGTCTGGAATCTCCCGTATGCGGCCTTCATCTCTCATCTGACAGAACTGGTGATCATCATGGCTGGTATTGCGATTACGTTGAAGTTTTCTCTGTGTCCTCCAAATCCTTCAACAAGCCTTGCAACACGCATCACTTTACGATACAGCAATGGCTGGCAACGGACGTCTACCCGTATCAGCTTGTCGCTCATAGAGACGAGTGCTCTCGCGTGAAGAAATCTATAGGTCGAAAAGTATCTGCGTAATTCTTGAAGACGTTCCTGGCTATCTATCTATGGCTCAGACAAATCTGTATACCGATGCTTATGAGAACTTTCAGCCATGGAATGGGTTAAATGATCTCTTGGTGTGTGAGGATTAAGCTCTCTCTGAAAACTTGATGAAACAAAAAGTCTCATGGATCAGCCATGTGTTGAAATCTTTTGTGGAATTCTTCATGTCTACGAGCTCTTATCTCGATAGCTTCTGACAGAACATTTACTGCTGTAACTGTGTATATGTTCATATTAACTTATGCAGTCAATTTTCTCCATTGTTTTGAGCTGTGTTTTGTGTGTGTTTTACATGTCGCTGTCCCCATCAATCCACAATTTAGCAAGGCAACTACACAGCACTTCACTCCTCGCATATACAAGTTCCAGGAAAGCAACGTACGGGGAGCAATGTCTGCAACAAGTTGTTGTGAACTGGGGAGTTATCAGAGCAAGGGGGTAGTAAACACTTATATTTCAATTGACACAGAGAGATTACAAAACGCTTATGGATGAAGTCATCATGATTTTTGATTAATAATTTTCCACGAAGAAGTCATACATACATAAGGTGCTAAGTGAAGAAAGACATAAGAGATAAATTGTGGACCCTCTGACTATTATATTAAAATACCGGCCTAGAATAATAAATAAGTTAGAGACAAACGTGACATAATAAAATATTCTTCTGTGTTTTATTGTCAGCAAATAGAGTCCAGTTCACATATTTCACGTTTAAATTCAAACTCTAAATGGGTATATCCACTGCATCATTCTCATTTGACTGAATCTATGAACAAAGTCGAATATGCATAACAAAACTATTTGTCGTACGTCATGAAATGCACCCTTGTTGTTCAATTTCTAAAAGATTCTGCCTCGATTTTTGCTTTACAAATATCATCACGTTTCCAATGCTTAAGTTGTGCACCCAAACAATACTTTGATGGCCTCGCTTGTACTGTCAGTTTCCACATCCTGTAATGAACAAAAAATGTATTCTGTGAGTCTGCAGGAGAACGATAAAGTCCAAAGAGAAATGAAGAACTCGTGATCAGTTTAATTCTTACGACAGCCTGTATCGCTTAGGAAACTTTTCTCGTCCCAAATTGATAGACTGGTTCCTGTTATAAGGTTTGGTCGTGCGACATCGTGATCCTTCAGGCTCATAGCTCAGTGATGTCAGAACACAGAACATGTATAGTGTGCTTATTATGAACGCGGTTTCAACACAATCTTGTCTTCAGTCAACCTTGATAATTCGTGAAAACCATATACTTCTCAACTTGTGAAATCTACCGTGGATATGCCCAATACTTAGCTCTGCCTTCTGTCTAAGAAGACGTGGTAACATTATCTGCTGCCTACGGATATAACTTCAATCGTGACCAAAGGACAAATTGAACGAGAAGAATCACTAGTCTTCATGAAGAGTAGATAAACCTAAACAAGTTCCGACAATCTGTCGCCCCAAATTATGTGCTGGTCCGTACTTGTAAGATTCTGTTATAAAAATTGAATAATACAGTCTATGATCTGTAATCACTGCAGTAACTTTTAGACTAAATATTGTGAAGAAACAATGAATCGAATCAGGTAAACACTGTTGCTCTTTGCCATAACATGTTCAATTGAGTATACGTATTCAACTCGAGATGCAAGCAATGTTAAGAGGCAGTCAAGATTCCACCAATAAATACTGTTCCGTTACAAATCGCTATTTCATTATAGAATTGTCTATCCGAGAAGGTGACATTGTTGTTAGTAATCTGCCATGCTAGATCTAGATCGGGGAATCATATCAATGATTTCCCGATCTAGATCTACTCTGTATTGTCCCCATGATTTGGAACTTCTATCCCGCATAACGTAGTATATAAACGGGTTCAGAAACGAAATATCTCCCAGAGCAAACAGAAAGAGCAGACCTCTTTAAAGAGAGGTAAGCAAAGAAAAAGACATTCTGCAAGGCCTAGCCAGTTCTTCACAGCAGTAAAATCTTAGACGCTATGGCCATGGCATCGTATGGAGCTTATATCCTCGCCATTCTCTCCTTATTTTCCACAGTCCTCGCTAGGGTAAGTATATCAGTTCATGACAGTTTTCTGAAATAGAATCCGAATCAGTGAAGTCGCCCATGCCTTGTTCCATCTTTTTTCTGTTGTTGCGCAGATGGATCGCACATTATGCGTCCTTGCTATCGATCACTGTCTAATCTCCTCAACCTTCTTGCCTTTTTTTGCCTCCAATTCTGGCAATAGTGAATCCTTTCACAGAAATCTGTCTGAAATATGTGATCAATCTAGTCTTCCAAACAATGGGAATTGTAGACGAGTATGAGAATGCTAAACAACGCTTATCCAGAACAGGTTTGGCTTGATTGTCTTGCAGGATTATTGTGTTTACACCATTTTCGTGAAGACCGGATACATGCCACAAGCGGGTACAGACTCGCACATAAGCGCTGAGTTCTTTGACGCTGCGGGTAACACCTACAAGATCAGCAATATCACCGAATGGGGAGGATCGCTCATGGCCTCAAACCACGACTGTTTCGAGAGAAACAACTTGGACCTTTTCACGGGCATTGGCGAATGTCTGGATTCTCCCATATGCGGCCTTCATCTCACATCTGACGGAAGCGGTGATCATCATGGCTGGTATTGTGACTACCTCGAAGTCACCTCTGCGTGCTCCATGGAACATGTTCCTTGCTCTACACATCGATTTACAGTCCAGCAGTGGCTAGCAAATGACGTCTATCCATACCAGCTCGTCGCTCACAGGGACGATTGTCCTCACATGAAGCATTCCAGCAGTCGGAAGACTTGGGCATAGAACATCCACGGGCTGTAAGGTCTTTGCAAACAACGATCGATATTCCTCTGCGTCGAGAAAGAGTTAACTTCCGTACCATGGAAACAACTTCGCTAGATGAAAGCTGGAAGTTAGAAACAGGTCAAAGTGGATGGTGATGAAGCTCTTGCCGTTAAGGAGATTTGCTCTGAAATTAATATAGAAACAAAAGCTCTCTCTCAGAGGAGAATTACATCGTCCTTGTATTAGCAAGGATATGTTTATGTATCCGCCAAGGAATAGAGGTTAATCTCGTAATTTTTTCTAGCCTCAATACCTCATATTCTTTCACATATTGAACCTGGCGAAGAATTTCTTTGTTCTGCCTTACTTGGACTGCTAAGTTATGCTAACATTTGCATCTAATAACTTTTTTCTGCTTTCTTTTTCTCTGTTTTAACACGAACTAATTTTCCTCTAAATCTAGGTATGACCAGCATGCTTTTCCTGCATACAAGGTATAACTAGCGTTTACACAGACCGGTTTTAAGGAGAGTAAGCCTAACAGTTGGTACGGTTCTGTAACAGTTCTGTTTTGTAGCACAATTCTCAGTACACACAATCTCAGCTTTCCGCTTTGTTTGACTTTGAAATTTGCCAAGTACGTAGAACGCTTTGACTGGAACTTTCTCCTTCCATGTAACAGAAATGACCTCTCACCGAGTCTCCTCAAACATGTGTCTTTTCGGCGTCATGCTCCCGCTCATTAGCGCGTATCATGTGACACGAAGGGGTGAACTTCAGTAGTAGTAAATGAGGAAACTGGTCAATCTGAACTTGTGATTATTGCTTGGAGGCTGTGTTGACCTGTACAGATATTCATATCCACCCGTTGTGGCAGATAATAAATCAGAAAACGCTTGAGCTTGAAGGGTCGAAATCCATCACTAGCAACTACATAGGCTATTGCTAATAAAGAAGAAAGGTGAATAAGCCAGACCAAGTAGGCAAATTTCTTCATCTTGTACATCACGGGGCAATCAATGTACAACGTTTCGACTCTACAGGTAGTCTAAAGTGAATCTTACGTTGTAGCTGTGAATGGACACGTGAATGTCGAAACAAAATGAACATTTGAATTTTGACTCTATCTTTAAGAACAGTGAAAGTATAAACTCAACATTAGATGATCAGATGACATATTCATGAGATTTGGTTCTTATTTTCTTATGTAAATTATGACGATTGTAGAAGTCTTGGCTAATCTCTTTAAGTTGGATATAATTTTAAATCGATCAATGGAGGTTAGCATAATCTCTATTAGAAGATTTAGGTGTAAAAAACAGCAGAAAATTAGAAATTAGTAGTCTAATCAAAAGAAATAAAGGATATTATTTTAAATTGAGACTTTTATCTCAATTTTCCTGCATGACCCGGAGATAAATTGGCCAGATCTTCTTTAATAATAATCGAGATCAATGTTGTGTATTTTCCACTGAGGCACAGATGTTAAAGCATATGTGGATTGAAACTTACAAACAATGTTGAAACAAAGATGAAGCCTGTAATGCACCTGGTCTTGCCTATGTATAATTATATCAGAACCTCGGGTTATCAATAGATGTTTGTGTGGGACATATGACATGATTTCAAACGAAATTTAGGCATTCATTCCACTCATGAACAGGCATGTAAGATTAAGTTACCGTTGATTAAGGCAGTGGACTGTCCATAATCAATGACTTATGAGTCGGTTAGTTTAGACTCTTAGCCCATTTTCTTGCATTTCATCCAATTACTTTTATGGAAATTATCCGATGACATGTACGGTGGATGGATCAGAAAAGTAAAACCAGACGCGAGATTCCTGCACTGTAGGAACAAGTAATTATTTTATTTCGATATTTCCTGTCTTCTTCGGAAAATATTGTTCTACGCATTTGTGCTGTGAAAGTACATCCATTGTCTTGATGTGGCAAGCCCGTATATTCTGGACCTCATGTATGAAGTAGGAACACGACTCTGACTTCGGAGCAGGTCGGGCTCCAAAGTCAGAGGAAGAAACTGAAAAGGTCACTGCTTCATTGGATAACTAGATGTTCCAAGTTTCTAGGGGGGAGGAAGGGGTTGGAGGACAGTGGTCAACCTCATCTACGATATGATGTCGATCGATTTGAGTCAGATTATTTGACGTTTGGAGATTTCGAATTTTAAAAAACAGCATTCTCAATATAGTCGTTCAGTTGCAGAGGAAGAGTTCCACTTTGTGACTATTATTCAGCTGGGCGTCCTTCTCGTCTTCCATGTAGTTCCGCTGTCCTTGTCGTGGGTCCACTCGTCCAGAACACCCATTGTCAAAGAGGCCTTGTAAGGACTGGAAATCTATATAATTGAGTTTGTTGATATTAGTACTCAGCCGTTTCTTTTAAGACCAAAAGGGAGAGGTGAAATTGATATTGTTTCTTCAAATGTACAAACTTCAAGACTGTACTTGGACAATATTGTAAAATAGAATTAAATGATACATACATAAAATTAATACATACATGCAAGAAGAATCTGAAACTCTGAGAGGTGCTTTTTACGTACAACATCGCTTTCAAACCGGTTTTCACACTGCATGCACGTTGACAGCGCTCTGTGGTGAACCCGACATTGTCCCAGTCCATTGGGTATAAATTTCTGCAAAGAGATTCACTCTTTCTACAGAAATTGGAACTGAATCCTGAGACTGAACTCGACACACATGACGCTCCTTGGTGGAGGTCTTCTGTAACTTCTGGAGCCTACTACAAGGTTCAAGGTCTGGCGGAACTTCTTCCTTCCATTTCAAGCAGATTCTAGACGTTCTTCCAGGATTCGTGGAGGCGGATCACATTAGTGTTTATAGTTCGTGATTATTTTGTTGTCTTCTGATGCTGTAGCTGACAGAATCTGAAAAATCCGGATCTGCTGGATGGAATATGCAGGTCCATAGCGGCGGAGGTGAAGCAAAGGGAGGTGGTGTTGTTCCTCCAGGCATTTAAAGAACAGCCTTGAGAAGGCCAACCATGTCAGAGGAGACCATGCCTGCCTCCAAGAATCGGGCAGCCATGGATATAACTCATCTCGGTCTGCCGAATCGTCACGTCGACGTCGATGGGCTTCTTACAGCAAGAAACTCCGTGGACTTCACGACAGTGTTCGTTGACCCCAAATCACAAAGGGCCGGCGGGCTTGATGCCCATGATCGTACTCCCAGAACTGGTGAGGATGCAGACATGATCATCTACGTACAAATAGAAATTGGTAATATCTTCCATCAGAGGAGAATTCCGAGTATCGATCAGGATCACCAACAAGATAACATCTCACCTCTGATTGAGACTCCCAGCTTCGACTTCATACTCACACTAATGCGAAGGGGACTTAGGAATCACTTCAGACACAGGCATGATGGAGATGGACGTCTTACAGGTCGTCCAGTTTGAGTATTGACTATGATTGCACATGTGAAGAATGTAGCTTTGCTACCTAATGAACTTCGAAGACCTTTGCTCCCATTGCAGGAACAATGTGGACAGCGACAGCTCATGTCATCACAGCCGTCATCGGCTCGGGGGTTTTGTCATTGGCATGGGCAATTTCTCAAATGGGGTGGATTGCAGGTCCCTTGGTGCTGCTAGCATTTGGTGGAATCACCTACTATACATCAGTCATGCTTGCCGATAGCTATCGCTTCCCTCATCCTGAGACAGGAAAGAGGAACCCAACGTACATGGCTGCAGTCAAGGCAAGCTTAGGTGGGTCGAATACCCTAAAGAGTTGATTAGACTTCACTCATCTTGTTGCATTCCATGGGGGGAATTTCACCAAGTCCACTTTTAAATTGTGCTTACTTTGTTGTGCGCAGGATCTAGAGAGGTCAAAGCTTGTGGAATTCTGCAGTACATGTCGCTGTTTGGAACTTGTGTCGGGTACACTATAACGACATCACACAGCCTCGAGTATGTGATAGCAGTATGGAATTGCTCGAACAGTTGTCAATAAATGTCAGTTGTCGAAGTAATCCCAGAACATGTTCAGTTTATTTCTAGATCAGTTGAACATCAGCTGTCAGCTGGAAGTCGCAAGTTCCTCGAGCTGTAATGCAAGTGTGTCCACTGGCTTCGCAGAGCAATTTTTCGGGCAGGATGCTATCACGCCGAAGGACATGATGCAGAATGCAAAACATCACTCAGCTATTACATGTTGGGTTTTGGTGCCACAGAACTAATTTTCTCTCAAATACCCAACTTTGATAAGATGTCCTGGTTATCGATAGTTGCAGCAGTGATGTCCATAAGCTACTCCGGAATCGGACTCGGACTCGGGATTGCCAAAGCTGCTGGTAGGAAAATCCATTCATTGCTGACCACTTTTCACCGTACATCAATTTCAGTAGTCCGGGTTCCGACCTGACTCTTCTGACGTAGGTCTCAGAATATTTGTTGATCATTATTCGCCGTACATCTTCCAATATGGTCTGGAATCCAACTTCACCTTTGTAACATGAGGACTTGGATTTGGAATACATGTTGACTCAGGTTTCGTATCTGACTCCGTGATTGCTTTGACACAGAGCATGGGCCTCGTGGGACACTCGGTGGATTGGACATAGGCCGAGGACCAGGGGAAGTGGCATTGATCGAAAAGCTTCTGTCTGTCGCAAATGCTTTGGGAAACATGGCCTTTGCCTACTCTTTCTCTACAATCTTAATAACGATACAAGTAAGTAAGTTCAGTGCAGGGAGTCATGCTATGTAGAGCCCAGTAAATTTGAAGACAGGTCCCAGAGCTGAGGAGTTTATTAATGTAGCCGCTGCCTAATTTGCATGTTGACTCAGGACACGCTAAAAAGTTCTCCTCCTGAGAACAAGATCATGAAGAAAGCAACTCTGATCGGTATCACAACGACAACATTGTTTTACATTTCTGTTGGATGCGCTGGATATGCTGCTTTCGGGAACGAGGCGCCTGGAGACCTGCTCACGGATTTCGGATTCTACGAACCGTGGTGGCTAGTCGACTTTGCAAATGCTTGTCTTGTCGTGCATCTTATCGGGGCGTACCAAGTAAGACTCAACCTTGTATCACCAAGTATCAAACCAACTGCAGTTGCATGTGGCCCAAGAGCTTTTTTCTGTGTGTTGCCGTCTGACCTGTCTTACCGTGTTCTCCTTGGCCATGCACAGGTTTTTGCGCAGCCAGTCTTCGCATTCGTCGAGGGCTGGATCACCAAGAGACGACCGGATAGTCATTTTATTCATAAGAATTTTGACCTCGTTCTGCCATGGGGATCTACGTACCATTTGAATCTGTTTCGACTCACGTGGAGGTCGGGCTATGTGGCCGTGACCACGCTGTTGGCCATATTGTTGCCGTTTTTCAACGCAATTATGGGACTTCTGGGCGCGATAGGATTTTGGCCTCTCACTATCTACTTTCCGATTCAGATGTACAAGAAGCAAGCTGCCATCAATTTCGGTTCCAAGAAATGGTACATGCTTAATGCAGTAAGTGCCATCTGCTTACTGGTGACTTTGGCTGCCGCGGTAGCTTCGATTCAAAGCATAATCCAGAAGAGCAAGGAATATAAACCCTTCTCCTCCTGACGAGAAATTAGGGAAGAAGCGATGATTTAGGAGTTACGTGCTAGCAAATACCTTAATCGATTCAGAGCTTTTAAACGTCGTCTACGTTGGATACCATGACAAGTTTACGAGTGCAATACATTTTCTCTTATCGTGTGGCTGCAAGGTTGAAAGTCTTTTTGCAGGCCCAGGCTGCTTCTTAAATATACAGAAAAAATCAGAGAATCATTGATCTCTCGCATGGATGCTTGTCAGATTTTCACATTCCTCATACTCAAGTCTCAAGGAAAGGCTGAGATTTTCGGATCTTGATCTAACAGAGAGGAGGATAGAAATGTATGTCTACTATGTTAATCAACTATGTTATGTCTACTATGATAGAGAATTTAGTTCTTGACAATTTTGAACTGTTTGGCAAGAACCGGGATAGATACCGAAACTGATTTGTTAAGCCGAAGTAGATGGTACTCTACAGTCTTCTCGAGCACCAGGTGCACTGGATTTGAAGCAAAATAAACTATGAGTCAAGGAAAAATATGAACTGTGCAGTCAGACACTGAAACTGCGATAGCATCCCTTGTGTCATTATTTACTCTTCAGGGAAAGAACGGGAGTAACATCACTGGAAAAATCTCGTTCCGCTAGTCATCAGGCACATGAGTGGCCAGTCATAAAGAAGCATGCAATCTTGATCTGAAGTAAATGACTGTTTGGTAACAGAGAAGGATTTTGATCTAATGTCTGAAGAGTATACAGCGATTTTGGAAACTACCATCTTAGCGAAATCGGCTTTTATAATTCTTGTGAAGTATCTGATCCGACAAATAGTGCAATTGCAGTTTTATAATGTTTAAAACAAACGCCGGATGTGGAAACTTACGTAGTGTCTTTAACTCCAACTCTATCCGGCCGAAAATAGCATGGCGAAGAGATCTTTCATGGTCTCACTTCGAATATCAAGGAATAGTCCATTCTTCTCACTTCAATGGAAATGTTCAAAACGCCAGTTAACATCATTTTCACCGCAGGCTCATGTACCCACTGCGTCCACGAATCCAGGTAATTGTGTATTTCTATTTTAAATCTTTTTTCTTTCTAAAGAATATTGTATTATGATATGAAATGGTACGTGGCATTTCTTATTTCTTATTGTTTCTTCTTACGATGTCACGTTTTGACGTTTGTGATGTGTACTTTGCGCCGTCTCCTATATTCTCACTGTGAGAGATAGTTAATGCATGTCTAAATAAGTTAGTTAAATTTATGATGGGTTTTGGAGCTTGATCTTTGTACAAAAGGTCAAAGTATACATTCTATGGACGAACAATTTGCGAGTGGCATGACAGCAAGGAACTATAGGTATTCAATGAGTTCACATTTTTGTTACGTTATCTTTGAGATATGAATGTCACCTTCAACATTAAAGTTAAATCAAGATGGTCGCGAATCTAATCTTCCTATCAATTCTTAAAACTCTACAAATCCTAGAATGGGAAATCATGTTAATTGGTATGTATGTCCGTGTAATTTACTCACAAACATAGTGATTCATTTAATTTAATAAGTCTTTTTGAGTCTATAAGCCTAATAACAGCCACATTTTACGTACTTGAGTTAAAAAAAACATCAAAGATTATGAAAGAATGTATATCTTTTTCTTCATATGATGAAATTAAAGGATACCTTACTTTCATCATATAAAGAATTATATGACGAAGAATTTCATTATGTATGTATACAATATATTGAATTTGCGTGTATTCACAGCAATAATAATTCTCTTCACACACATAATTGAAATTAAAAAATATTTTCTAGGTAAAATCGATACCATTAAATCATTCCACTGAGAACCTCTTATTGTAAATATCATACTACTATATAATAGCAGGATTCAAACTGCATGCGACAAGAAATATTTTTCTGTTCATCAATTGATTTCTATTTGAAAGGATTTAACAATTCAAAATAGCGGGTAAGTTTGTTAAACCTAGTATTAAAACCTACTTGGATTTTATAATATTTTATCGAATTGAACTTAATTGCAGATTATATCACTCAGTTTAATAAATGTTTTTTTCAGATCACATAATAAATGTATCAATGTAGTATGCAAGTTTTACATTTAACACAAGACTATGTTTTTGTATTACATATTACGATAATGACAAAATGTAGTCATACAACTTTCAAATATTTAATATTAACAAATGAATTCAGATAAAATTTATTGCTGATCCTTTGTAAAATATTCATCGGTAGAAAATGATAAAAAAACAAATATTTCATGGTCTTTCATGATAAGCAATTTCAAATAAAAATATATTGATTGTTTTGTATTTTTATTTTTTAAATTCTGGATATAAATGATAATTCAATAACCAATCAATCCATATATATATATATATATATATATATCATGGACGTCATAAACTAAAATGATCAGTAGATAAAAATATAATATAAAAAATATATAAAGACACATAAATCAATGGTCAGACTTATATAACAAAAAATTGAAGTACCTGGATAGTTAAATTCTTATTCACTTTTGGATATATAAAATTGAGATGAATATCTCATGTTATTGATCTTAAATAAAGCTTGTATGTTTTCACAATATATGGATCAATCATATTTCTTCCAAATTATTAAACCATGTGTACAATTTGATTTATTATGAACTTCTCTTATTGATCTTTTAGATTGTTAAAAGAACAAGTTTTAGTCATGCCAGGACAAACTTTTCAAGAAAAAACATAGTAACATAGGGCTTTTTTTTAATTATTCAATTTAATTTAGATTCAATTTTTTCTGATAAATATCTTGATGAAGAAAGCATCAATTCTAACTGATGAATAAAAAAATAAAAATAACGAGATGTTGCAGTTCAACATGAATTATAAAGATGTCAAAAATTTGTTGAAGAAATTATTTCATGCTAGATAAAAAACTTAGTCAGAATTGTAGCTTATGTTTTCGTCAATCATCATTGATGATTGCTTATACGTAGATAACGATGTAATATTAATGTAAAGTATTATTATTACATCGCAAAGATAATCTCTTGATTAATTTTGAATCATATAATTTACATATATTAAATATGACAATGTCTCTTATTTTAAATTGCAGGATGAATCTATATTCATACGCTGTTAAAGAATTCTAACCTGTTTCGATATATGTCAAAGATTGTGTGTTTTCAGACTACACATTTTTACAATTTATAACTTAGCATTTCGTCAATACAAAATGTGTAAAAGTAAGGTGCAGATTCATTGAGAGAATTTTTATTATTGTAGTGTCCAAATTCTTAAAATCCATCTCTAAAGTCAGATATAAGAATGCGAAGATGTGACACTGACATGACTTGAAATTCACAAAATATGTCCTACAAGGTGCTAAAACAAAGCCACAAGTAGGGAAAAAACAATGCATCACATTGAGATATTATTTTTCAAATAGAAAATTGGCTACTGAATTATAATACTTCATTGCACATGTGAGAAAATTAGCATTAGCAGAAACCGGTGTTCTTTGCCAAATAAGTTAATTCTACTTTACAATATTTGACGTAAGTAATTGGTCCTTTCAAATCAAGGGCTATTTATTTATCTGTAGGATTTCTGTTTATGAAAGTTTATAATTCTGAATTATCGTAAGAAAGGTAGTTCTACTGTTAGTTGTAATCTAGAGGTCATGAAAGTCCACAGTGAGCATCTTGAATTTGAGTTTCTCATTTTGGAGAAACTCAAATTCAAGAAGAGATATGTTCTTGAAAGGGCGATGAACCTTTATGGCAATCAAGACATACTGCTGATTACAGGATCAATTCTTCACCTAAACGTCGAGTGACTGGCACGATGCGCCACAGAAGAGTTTGGATGCAAGCAATATTTCAACGAAGTGAGCTTGTGAGTCGACAGTTCAACGAGCTATCAATATTGCATATCAAAACACGAATCAAGTACTAGTATCGGTTGGTTCCATGGTGCCAAAATCGGACTCCAGGTTTCGCTTCATTGCACGTCGATAGAAACTCTGATAGTTTTCCTCGGCTTCGCATGTCTACAGACATGAATTGTACACTCTTTGGTCGAATGACACCAGTTTTGTAAAACGTAGTGTCACAGAAATTATCACAAGCTGTCCACATGGACAGGCACATCAAGATCATCGTATGATGAAATTAGACTGCTGCCACCCAAACGCACTAGTCGAAAATTGTACGTGCGATATTCTCTGATACTGTGATTGCCTCCTGTATCTCATCTCGACTTTATTGCCGACGGATCGGGGACATTCTCGCTGCATTATGGTTTGGAGGCGAGAAACTTGCAAGGGACTGCAATCGATCCAATGTGTCATGAACAAGATTGAGGATGAAACAACGCTCGTTTCGCCTGTCTGTATCTCAAAACTCCAATCGTCTACCTCGTGCACAACATGCCGTCATATTCGGTGCCAGAACTCTGGCATTTCACATCGAAATGCTCGAAGGGTTCTGCTTCCAAAGGTCGTCCGAGCTCGGGGTCGTCAGCGACTAGAGACACGGGCCAAAACTGATTCACGGCGCAATCGGCAGACAGAAGAGACGAGCTGACATACTTGGCCGCGTCGCCGATGACGGGCATGGGCACATCGCGCTTCACGGGAGTCTTGTAGCCCAACTGATAGGTGCGGCCCAGCACGCCGTCCACAGAGCTAGAAAGCTCGAGAAAGAAGAATTGCATCTGCAGATGCGCAAAGCAATCGTCCTCGGTGATCTGGTAATTGTGCGCCTGGCTCTCGTGCTCGGTGATGGGCACCACGCTCAAGCTCACCGCCAGCAGGTTCTCGATGACCACGTGGACGGCGTTGTAGGTGGCCAGGCGCTCCACCACGACCTCGGCCGAGGCCGAGGCCCACATGGCGCCCTCGATCTGCGGCAGGTAGATCTCGGCCCCGTCGAACCGGATGTCCAGATGGTCCGCGCTGTCGTCCCAGCTGGCCACCTTCGTGGCTGCCACGGTAAGCCGGTGACAGTCGAAGAGAATGCCCAGGCTCTGGACCCACGTGTAGTCGCGCGGCCTCCCGGCGGGCCTTTTGCCGATGAAATGCGCGTTGATGTGCAGCCTGTGATCCGTCACGATGCAGAAGTCCTCATCCTTCTGGCCATGGAAGTAGAACATCACCCCGTCTCCGCCCACAAACCGTGGATCGTCGCACACCGCCCCGAGCCCGTCGCAATCGGGCTTCCGCTCTGCGCACAAACCACCGCATGTCAGACTCTGATCCCAGCTCGTCGTGTCCATCGTCGAAGCATCATTCGCGAAGATGCTTCGCTCGTCCTTCTGATCGGACCAGAGATCGGTCTCAATGGGTTCTCCTCGAGGTTTTCTCGACCGAGACAGTTCATGGTTTCGCTGTCAGTCGGTCGTACCGAAGTGATTTTTACTTTATGTGCTTTATGAAAGGCGGGCACGATTCTACCAATTCGCGAGCTGTGCGGCATCATGAGCTCCTCTGACAATCGGCGAATTCGACGGATTGCGTTTGCGGTTGAGCTCTACGAGGACCCAAACGGAATTCAAGGTAACATCTAGGACAGGGTAACTCACGCTTGCACACGGCCTCGCATTGCGTCGAACAGTCGATGTGACACGAATTGGAGCCCGGGGCTGCACTCGCTCTTCTCGGACACTCCGAAGGGCAGGTCAGATGTCTCCCATAGCAGCGTTCCGTCACGCAAGTTGTTGAATCAGGAAGATTTGCAAACGACACGACGGTGTTTTGCACGCAGGACAGAATCGCGAGAGTCCACACTAGAAGCTTCCCGCTCTGAATCGTCATCCCCCTCCTCCTGCTCATGGTCATCACCACGGTAGTCGACTCTTCCGTCAACCGCGTCCGTGATCTGTCCCATATATTTGGATCACTCTGACAGCCGCGACTGGATCGCTAAATCTTCGAGTTTCGCACGGTCGTGCTCATGGAATTCATGTGACATCGATTCGTACTCCGGTTGTTTCGCATCCAATTCGACGTTACCGTGAGTCGAACCAAATCCGAATATCCATCGATCTCACTACCTTCCTCAGAACTCTTGCAAGCCTAGTGATTCCCGGCAGCTTCCTGGCGTGGACCGATCCCATTCTCGAATCCTTCCGATGCCGCTCTCATTTCTTTGAGCTCACGACTCATCGACATCACCGCTATCTCGAATTTCTCACTTCTACAAGATCAACAACCAACGCTGCGCAATTCACAATTCCGAATTGGTACCAGAGAGTAAATTGCGCGTGCACCGAGCTCATCTATGAACGCACCGTCCTGTCTGGAGGGCGGATGCTCTTGCCCTCAGATGTGTACAAAGTTATCTATAATAGCATTGAGAGGACAAGTGCTCCAGATTCACTGTGGGTATGAACGGGGCGGATTCTAAAATTAGGGCATCATCATGGATTGTCATGCGTGCGTGAAGGTGATTCTACCTGCGAGTTCTGAGAGCCTGTCCTCTGCGCGAATGGAGTGACAATAGTTGCATGCACGTATTGAACCTCAATTCGCGCGACGTGCAGTCTTCAGTGGAGGCCGGCTAATGGCTGCACATGGAATCTCTCCCTGGGCCTTGGGTGCTGACTGATCCAGGGATTTTCCCGTGGAACTTTGAGTGGGAGACATCGGGCCGAGAGAAGGGGGCAGTCGGCCTTGTCTGATCCGAATTTCCGAGTGGCGTCAAGAGATCTCATAGCAGTACATGGCACTGAATGTTGCCTCCACTGAATGAGAGAAGATGAAATGTCTTGGGAACAGTCCGTCTATCGTGCGTACAGTCATCCTGTTCTACACCTGCGGAGTCACTGGGCGAATAACCTCGAACAGGCTTGCTTCAAGGGCAAGTAGCAACAGAAAGATCACTGACTGAGATTTGTTCATCCAGGAATCGCAGCCCTCAATTTCCAGAAAAGAAAGATAAGCATCCGTACCCAGTATCGAAATGGCATTGACATATGTATATTGTTGTTGTAAGCGCAATTAGGCAGTTCAAGGGATAACACGCATAATGTTAAGAAAATGTGGACAGATGGCTGATTTTGTGAGACAAATTCCGTGATTCTAGATTTTCAAGATATGAGTTTCAAGATTTTCAGATTGAGCGAGTGTGTTTCCACAATACGTCTCAGCTCCGGAGGTAGCTGTGCGGCGATCTTTTTCTCTGACAAGTTGATCGATTTGAAGTGCAGAAGTTGCAACTTGTAGAACATGCATTCCGATGCTTTCAGAAGCGAAGGTTTGCCAATGTCCCATGGATTGTAGATCTGTTCCGTAGGCACCCGGACGTATATTTCCATTTACTCGGTCAGCTGTCCACTACTAGCACCTTTGAGCCTTCGATACCATCTTCTCACAGTACGGCATTCCTGCTTGGTAACAGAGCACGTCACAAGTAGTTTGTGATCTCAGCTTGTGATTTTCACGCCCGACGGTTGAGAAAATAGTTTTGTATGGACATGGAGAAAGATCTACTGTCCAATGCTATGGTCAAACTGAGATGCATCATTCGTCCAAACTAGAACCCGTCAGAAAGGAGACCGTCTGTTTCTTTGCCTGCTCGACGCCCCTTGTCAGAGGGGTTAGAACTGGTTCCCAATGTGCTTCGTTTCCTGAGGCCACAGATCCTGAAATCTTCTCACACGATGGTACTGGACCTTGAGGTATTGAAGAAACCGAGTAATGAGCTTCAATACAGGGAGATTCTTGTTGCACACTACCCTTCAAGCATCTCCATCGAAAGAATGAATGTAGCGCTTGAGTAAAGAACTGTAATCACAAGCTCCTGCTGCCGAATAAATACGCACCTTCTTGATCTAATGTCCATCGTTTATATGAAAAAAGAAGTGGCAGTTGCAGATTTGGAAAATGCGCTTCATGGTCTTGGGTGCTCTCCAGCAACCAGTCTCTTGCTGTGAACAATATTATCTGTCTCACAGATGGCTCGGGTGTCGATGAAATCATGTATCGTGCTCAAGAAACTCGGTTGCCTTCGCTCTATGCAGGTCGTTCACAAATTACCTGCTTGCTACTGATCAACGATATTCTATGGGGATCGGACAATTTTGACGATGCCAGACGCAATCCGGATAAAGAAATGCGGACTTTTACTTGTATTGTAACAAGACGGCGCGATTATGGTGAACATGAAATTTCTACTGGTAGAGATAGAATAAAGTACTTCTCAAAATCTCCACATGAGATCTTCATCAAAATCCGCTGGCCGTGATTAATCAGTGAAACTGCCAACTCGATTCTGTTGCTCTCGAGAACGAAGTAAACCACGTGCATCATCGACAGCAGTCACTGACTTTCATGAAAACATGTGTATCGCTAAGCGAAGTTTGAAATCCACAAGGACCCGGAGAGAGATGCGAGAAATATGATCTTAGTTTTTTCTAGGTAGATCTTCAAACCATACTGCCCAAAGATGGCAAAAAGTGATGCTGAATTCCCAGTTCATCCGACGCGGCGAAATGGATACTACTACGAATGAGTATGAAGTGCTAAGGGGAGCAACAATTCAAGAAAATCGAGACGATTTTCTACGCTTAGTGCATTTTACAGATTCAGTATTCTGCTGGTTGTTATTATGAAAAGCATTCCGCTACGCAGGAAGGGTGGGCATCATCGTCAGATGTGACAGTACAGAGTTGGGACAATCGACGATCAGCGGTTACATTTATCTTTCTGATTGTCAAACTTACCTGGATCGATGAAGAGCTGGAGATGTTACACTAGAAGGGAGTATCATATTTGGTGACACTAGTTGTGTCCGGAGTTGTGCAGGAAGCTTGAATATGTTCGGAATATCCAGAATTGACGAGGATCCCCAAAATCATGGGATGCAATATTGTGGGTCCATTGTCTACTAAATTGCCAAATGAATTGCGATAGCTACAATCTACATGGGGTTACAGTTCACACGCTGTTTGTGCTCGACCCGGTAAAGTAGTTCGATTCTCAGAGAAGAAGATAACTAACCTGTACCCCATAGAAATGATGGTGTGTTGGACTTGAGGAACAAATTTCTGGCCGAGTCGATATGAAGAGAAGACAGGCATTAAGAACAAGTGTTCTATGTGAATATTGATCGGACCAGGGTTTTCAAAACTTGTTACTGTTGTTCAAAATATTCAGAAATGTTTCCATAATTCTTTTTGAAATCTTATTATCATTTTTTATTAATTTTTTTTACTCATAATACACTATTAATTACTCATAATTATGATATTACTCCTATATAAATATAGTTTTTAAAACTCGAAAAATAGCCGTTCTTTAGTCGGTAGCCGTTCCAGCCGAGCAGCTGGAACGGCTAGACTTGCGGGCTAGTTGCCGTTGTCGATGCACGACAGAAGTTTAGTGCTATCACAATAAACTTCTCGAGCAGATCTAAAACTTCGGTGGCAGATCTCTCGAGCTCGGCTCAAGAGAGATCAGGAGCAAAATTGGATCCAAGCTGATCCAATTTTGCTCATACTGCTACCACCGGAAGAAGGATTCTGTCCTTGATGCAATAGCTGGCCATGGCAATAGTAGAGGATTATGTGGATCCACCAACGCCTTCAAGACCGGCTCCTGAATTGAGCTAATTCATTAGAGCGGATCATGTAGATCGGGAACTTGAAGTGAAGCAGCTTATCTGGGAGGCTTGGCATGCGGAAGGTGAAGCATGTATTTCAAAATCTGAAATATATGCTTCACCTTCCGCATGCCAAGCCTCGAGAGACGACTATATAGATGGGAGAGATAAATTTGTTGTGAATGAGCCCATCTCAGACGAATAGGAATGCATACATCATGAAAATACTACGGAGTTGAGAGGATTATACGGAGAAAACATATGGAAGCCTTCTGCACAGAGTTCACACTAGACAGCGGAACAGGAGGTGACTGCAAGTGTGGGTTCAAATGTAACTACTAGTGGACGGAGCAGAATCCATCTTCAAACAGTGAAATCAGTGACATAAGCAAGGACTGGATCTCCATCTCCTCCTGCCCAAAGAAGGGTATTAAGAGGAGGAATGCTGCAGATGAGGAGCGTGAAGAAACATCATCATCTCCAAAAGCTGGACGATGGTATACTCTGAACAAGAAGATGCGGAGACCCTCCACAACGTGAATCCCCTTCAATATCAGATACAAAGAGGGTTATGCTCAGCGGAAGTCTAGGAGACTATCGACTCGTGACGATTGCTGCAGAGGGCTCTGGCTGTGTGACTGGTGTGACTCCCATATCAGAGTTTGAGACCAGAAGGCGTGGAGCTTGATGCGCAGAACTTGAAGGCGAGGCATGTAGCCACAGATAGGAAGTTGGACAAGAAAGCCAATCCTAAGATACCGCGTGCATGAAGTCGTGATTTCATAGAAGACAATGACCACAAATAATAGATTGCAGTGTAGTTCTGCACAGGTATGGGCATTCGTCCGCTACCTTCTAGGAGTTCGCTGACCACAATGATGACCATAGAGAGAGATAATGTGGAACGCGAACTCTCGTGAAAGCCAAGTGTCTAGTGTGCAACCAACTTGAGAGCTACTATATTATGGTTGAGAGTTTGACATCTGCACTCAAACTCTCTGGTAGCAGGGAGCCCCGAGGAATAAAAAGAGAGGAGTGTTGTTCTGTGTGTGTAGGGAAGGGCGGCTACAACATAGCTCTCGCAGTTGATTGCAAACAACAAAGTTCTGTGGTCCGACACTAATGAGCTGGGAGCTCCGATGTTCACTATGAAGTAGCAGTTCCGGTGGTAACACGAAATCTATAATATCCTTGTGTGTGTAGACTCACGGTTTGAGTTCACTGTCGAATTCCATACCACACTCACTCGGACTCAACCATATAGGGACATTCTCTGGTGGGGGCCGGATGTAAGACGGGAGGAGTGATGTTGAGTGTGTGGTGGTGAGCTGCTCTCAATTTGGTTGCACACTACACACTTGGCTGTCACGAGCGTTCGCGTTCCATATTATCTTTTTCTATGGTCATCATTGCGGTAAGTTTAGTGTGTGGTGGCTAGTATTTTGTGTTTTTATGGCTTTCTGTTACTAAAAAGTGGCCCTGAGGAGTTCCAGATCGTTCATCTTAAATCAAGAGTGAAGTCAAACTGAATGGGCCCACAAACAGGACATCACTTCTCCCGTGCCATTCTAAGCTCTTCATCACCAGAGTGTTCCTTTAGTATGGTTGAGTTTCAGTGGAGAACTGTTTGGTGTGAAGTCAACGGTGAGGCCCTGTGTTTTTTATATCTGTATGCAACTCCAATGTGGCTCTTTAGAGTTCCAGA